AGAATCGATCACAGAATGTTACTAGAAAAAATAGCCTTTTGTGGTATAAGAGGAAACCTCTGGAGATGGTTCAAGTCTTATATTTCTAATAGAACTCAAAAAGTTGTTATTAAGGGATTTGAATCTCAATGTGTACAAGTTACCTCAGGAGTTCCTCAAGGATCCATTCTTGGCCCCCTTTTATTTATACTATTTATAAATGACATTAATACATGTTTTAAGCATTGCAATTTTCTTTTATATGCTGATGACTTAAAATTATATTATACTATTAACAATATAGAAGACCATGTTAAATTTCAAGAAGATTTAAATCGTTTTACAAATTACTGCAATAATAACAAACTTGAACTTAGTGTGAATAAATGTAAAGCCATCACATTTACAAAGAAAATAAAAATTAGCAACTACCCATATTCACTCTGTAACACAATACTAACTAAAGTTAACGACATCAAGGATCTTGGAATAATTCTTGATTCTAAACTACATCTTGATTTACACATAGAGAGTATAATTAATAAGGCTTATAAAATGTACGGGTTCATAATGAGATCAGGTACTAGGTTTAGAAACTGTTCTACATATATTCATCTGTTTCAGTCATTAGTAAGATCACAGTTAGAATACGCAGTGACCGTATGGAATCCCCATTATGATAAATATAAGAATAAACTAGAAATGGTTCAAAAGAAGTTCCTCAGACGTATACATTTTATGTTTTTTCGTAGAAGACTATCCTATAATGATCTACTTAAACATTATAAATTGCTGAGCTTGAGCTTAAGACGCTCTCAATTACAATGTATGCTGCTTTATGATATCTGTAATAACAAATATGATTGTTTAGATATGTCATCAAGTATATATTACAACATACCCCCCAGAGTTGAAATGAGAACATCACGCCCCCATAGACTCTTTTCGATTAAAGCAAGTCGAACTAATGCAGGTATTCGTAAACCTATTACTCGCATTTTGCAGTCGTACAATGATAACTTTAATGAATTGGATATATTCAAATTGTCATATATAGGTTTTAGAAGGTCAGTAATTAATAAACTTAAAGTCTTACGTATATATAATCACATTGAATCATAATATAATTCATTCTTTTCCCTTGTCACACTGATGTACACACATACATTCGCGCGCACCAACACACACACACACCCACACTACACTCATATGTACAAACACACATTCGCACATACAAATGATTTTTCCTCGTATCTTTAGTAAAACCTGTAACACACATATCTCATATCTCTTTTCCTCATTCAACCCACTACATATACACCATCATAATTATAAGTAGAAAATATATTAGCTTGTATGCGTTTAGTATGTATGCGACCCACATATCTTAATACTTTAATATAATTTGTGATCATGCATGTTGGGTTTACAATAACATAGTACGTAGAAAATGTAAAATAATTATAACTTTCCTAATTGTGAACCTGTTTTTGATCCTAAATAAATAAATAAAAAAAAAAAAAAAATCTCTGGTTATCTTTGAGCTGAGTTCTAGTTTTCCCAACGTCGTATGTTGGCCGAATAATTAATTACATTTAAGAAGACAAATTTTAGCAAGTAGGTATGTTATGTAATTTATTTTATAGTGCTATTGTATAATGTTTTCTAAACTTCGAAAGTTTCAAATTTGTGTAGAATATGAGCCATTTGGCATTGGCACATACAAAATTATTTATACTGCTCGAAATTGCATTTGTAACAATCAAATAGTTCATATAAATGTATTCGTTACATAATAGATCCTCCGATCTTCGCATTCCTAAATTACGAATACATTGATTCATCCATATCATTCGATGAAGTAGATATAAAGGGAAGTGAGGAAGTTATTTTTATGCATACACACTATGCTAACGAAATAAATCACTATGCCAGACTCGTTTGTAGCGTAAACATTAGCAAGGTTATCCATCGTATATGCAAACAATGGTGGTTACATGCACAACAACGATGTGTCAAGCCTTTGACTTTGTATAAGATGGAAGAAGTTGGCCAAAATGTATTGTTAACATAGTAGCCTAGTAACCTGCAGGTTCAAACATATATTTTTTTAGAAATGTATAAGATTTGTCAGTTAATATTAATACATGTCACAGTTCCATGTATAAGTGTATTTATATGAATTTTCAGATCTACATTAGGTATTGTGGTTAATCCTCTATAACTTAACTCGAAAAAGAGTGAATAAAAATATTATTACACTTATATTTTGACGAAAGAGGGAGTTTTATATTAATAAATATAATATAATTATTGATATAAAATTCCCTAAATATAATACATATTATATATATAATTTATTTAAAGCGAACATTCAAATAATGTACATTTAGGATCATAGTATTCGATATTAAAACAAATACATACCATAGTTTATAAAGTCAGGAAATCAACTAGTCAATCTTTAGCAGATGCTGCATGCCAGATACAGAAGTCTGCTTACATAATTGTAGGTATATACATTGAGCGATTCCACCTGTATCTTGATAAATCAGTTTAAAATACCTGTAAATCTAGAGATAATAATAAGCCTCGATTGTGGCATCGATGCGTTTCACTTATTTTATTATGTTATTACTTTTGTTTGGCGATTTCTTATATTTCATGTTAGAATTTCTCTAAGATTATTCTCATGATTTTCTTCTGTATAATGAATATGATATATAACTTATTTTACCTCAGAAATATAGTGTTAATATTGTCGTTATCTTATATATAAAAATCAATATCTACATTTAGATAATAATAGATACTCTCAGATTATTAGCTTTATCAGCGCCTTGCCCCAGATCAGATACGGAATGTCTTACAGATAGAAATCATATTTGTTAAAGTTAGTCCATTGAAGTTATCATGGAGTTTGTAACCGATATTAAGTGTAGATAAATATTGTAGGTCTTGTATTGTATGGAGTACAGTAGATATACGCTAACTGTTTGTTCTTTGCCATCATCGAACAAAATGATAATTCAATGCAATTATTATTATTATCTATTTCGGTTGGAGTAGTGAACTGATTTTTATTCAAATGTTATAACCACTGTCTCATTGTTCGCAGTGATTTATGTTTATATAGTGAATTAAAGTGTTTCGATATATCACATTTATTTTTAGAAATGAGTTTAGTAACATATAAAATAATATTTGTTCACTGAGCATAGACAGGACAAATTCTTACTCTATGAATTAACGTTAAGCTCGGGTGTCCATGATCATATAGAGTAGAATTTCAAATTACTGTGTTTATCTGGATACTGTCCAGATTTACACTAGTAAACGATACAAAAATCAATTGAAAACATAGTATTATATATTTACTTATTACAACTTTTTCTTTACATTCTAAAAACTTTAACAAAAACTTTAAAAGATATTACACTTTTTCTATTCTAATATACATTGTCTTATAGTACGTTAACTATTTAGAAAAATTTCATCCTGATATACAATATATGATACTCATTATTTATTGTGGTGTGAAAGTGAAATTGTTCGTTAATTTATGAAGGCATTTCGCCAATAGTCATTAAATTAGGTAGAGAGAGAATTTTAAATTAAGGAAAGAATCTGTCTGAATGCGAAAAAACTGAAATGATTAATTTAAGCACCCAAATACAGTGTTATAAGTTCATCTAAATTTAAAAATCTCTGGGATGAATATTTATCCTCTAATTATATCTTTTTTACATATATACTTAAATGTCTCGGTTTCATAAGTGGACGTAGTAAGCAAAGGTAGTATTTGTATATTTTCTGTTAAAATTTTCGCCAACCAAGAGCTCGGCATAGGCAATGCAATGTGGTATAAGGTGAGAAGTCTGTCACGTTATCCATACGGTTTTAATAAGTGTATCATAAACATTAACTATACCATAATGTACCGTCCATAAATATGCTATTAATCATTCACTCCACGTGCTTATACGGCCTTGAGGTCGTATTAATCCAACAATATTTTACGTACAGCAAACATAGTACTGGCAATGACCATGAAATTCAAATAAGATAGACAATGCGATTGTTTAATAACAAACAAAATCTTATCAATTTCTTTTAAGTAGTTTTCAGACTCAGGATTAGGAAACATAACATCTATATCTGAACAATAAGTATATTACGTAAAGTGTATGTTGCTTTAAATAGTTGGTGTAAGTTTCACTACATCTCTCATGACAATTACTTCTTTTATATCGTATTATATTATATCGTAATATATCGAGTAACTCCTGTATTTTGTATCGTGTATTTTCTTAACGAAATGTTAAGAAAATACACAATATCGAACAATAAAAATACAATAAAACATTACGGAAATTTCCATTAATGTGCCAGGAAAATTATGTGATAACTCCCTGAGTAGTCAAACATGTTGACTTGTTGTAAACAAGGTTGACCAATAAAACAAATTTTATTTTGGTGCCAAGTCTCCGGAAATAATAGATGACTATTAAAGTGTAAGTACGGAAAGAACCTTATAGGCTTGTTATGAAATGACATTCTTCTAGGGATATAATGGCTGGACATTCATGATGGTAGACGATAAAATGAAGTCAATAGTTATATTAATGAAGATCGTCAATGACGTAATGCTTTCATATTTATGATTCGATAATGAGGGTATAAAAACAAATTGTTGTTGTTACTCATACTGTTTTGATGATGCTATAATTCCGATTTGGCTGATTTTGTACGATAGATTATTAATGAATTATTTAATCAGAATATAAACAGAAAATATACCTACTTATTATACATAAAATGTGTTCCCGTTTGATTTTATACTTCGTTTTCGAACACTTTCAGTTAAGTCTTTTATCATTAGATTCCTTATTAGAAAATAATATAAATTGTCGTTAGAACTATTGTACACTTCAGTTCAGTATTTAAATGTTCGTATACCTATGTAAATAAACCTGATTGTATTAAAGGCTACGAAATTAATATAAAAAAAATTGTTACAGACTGAAAGCGAAACATCCTGCGAAGAGGCAGCAAGACTGACCGCGGAAGGTGCCGGCGCGGATGAAGATGACGATGCATTTGACTATGGGGCCCTACCTCCACCCCCAGATGGAGGATATGGATGGGTTGTCGTCTTCGCTTCTTTTATGTGCAACTTGGTGGTGGACGGAATTGCCTATACCTTTGGAATATTTCTCCCAGAGTTGGTCACATATTTTGGCGAAGGGAAAGGAAAAGTTGCGTGGGTCGGCAGTTTACTGTCAGGAGTATATCTCGCTGCAGGTACACTTTATTTCTTTAGTTCTAAAGCTTTATATCTTAATTTTCCATAAGAGGAGTCCGTTCTTGTAATCTAAACATTACTATATAACGTATGGTGAATTAAATGTTTTTATTATATTTCTGAGGAAGGTTTGTAAATATAAAAATTTAATGAATTTCTTTTTCATTAAATATATATATATATATATATATATATATATATATACATATATATTAACGTACGTAATCTATATGTATATATATATACATATAGATTAACGTACTAAACGGGTTAGTAGTCTTGAAAATTTTCTTCATAAATTGGGAAGAAATTTGAAGACTTGACCTTTACCTAATTATACTACATGTAGTTTATAATTTCACTTTCGCAATCATTGTAATCTCGTAAGTGGCAGTCAGAGGTATTTTAATGACTGTTACGTTTATTGTGGTGAATATTGTTAGATTTCTGACTTTTATCACAATCTAATCGCTGAAGATTATTTAATGTGTATTTAAGGCGATAATGAATTTTATTATTAAACGAAAACAAATGATATCTGTTAATATGCCCTTTTAATCCTTATATAACTATACTGTTACTAACTGTGATTATATTACTTCAGTGACATTGCAGTGTAATTAATATTTCATATCTTAATTTCTTTCGTACTGATTAGTATAAAGCTGCACAATCTCGTCTTTAAATCATTATTTAACTAAATATTTCAGAAATTATACGCTAGTCATTGGAATCATTAAATAAAAAAATATTGATAAATTATCGATAAATATGTCTACAAATTGTAATCACATACATACTTTTTATTATGTAATTACAAGTATTAGGTATATTATAGTAAATACTATAGTGAGGTCAGCGTGGTAATATTACGTAAATTCCTCTTATGAGGAGGATCTGTTCATAGAAGTGTAGTAATATAAATAGGCTATAATAATAATACACAATACCTACAGTTAGGTACTTTACATTTTCCAATTAAAGAAAAGATCGAAAAGAAGGAAAATAATATTTTACTTTTTGCCTAAAAGATAATTAAGACTAGATGCATTTGTAATTACACTATAATTGTTTTGACGTTAGACAGAGAAATCAGTGGTTATCTAGGGACCCGACATAATAACCTCAACATATTTTTAGCACATCAATACCCAGTCAGTTTCAGTTCCTTAATTTATGTCTGGCGCACAATGAATTTATGAACATAACCGATATGAATACGATTTTGATATATTAATCTGAAACTATAGTCTTTAATACATTTTTAAAGAGTAATACTCATTTTGAGTATTATTTTTTTCTGCACAGATTATTTTAATACATATAATATCTTTAGTACATACTTACACAATATAATTATAAAAACTATATTATATTTTCAATTCTACTTTATTATGTGATATCTTTGCTAATTAAACCAATAAATGGGAAATCAACTTTTTATAAATCAGTTACAAAACATCCGAAGTTCTTAATGTACATATACAAATAGTAGTATTTAAAGCATACCTAGATAGATCGTATCTAGTTATCTACCTGTGCTAGTGTACAAGGTAGATCCTTGAACTGGTTTCGTAGAATTTACATCGTGATCACCGGCCTGTGGTTGTACCTGATTGTACTCACATTGAGTACAAGGCATCTTTCCTTAATTACGTTTAATTTGTGTATGTATAGTAAGTATACATACACTAATCTAAAAAAAAACTACATGCTTTTTGTAGTTTTTATTTTCATACTTAATTGCATCTTGTTCATATTAATTTTATTTAATTATAGGAGTCAAAATATCTGTACATTTACGTTACTTATTATTGTGATAATTATCACCTACGGGATTGTTGTATTTTCAAAGTTTTCAGGAACAATTGACATATGCACACAAAATTTTATTCAAATCAGTTCAGCCATTAGGAGGAATTAAGTGACAAACACACTCACAGAAGAATTAAGATATTGATATAATAATGTTTGTGATCCACACAGTGATGTTGCAAAAATCTGCCAAGAAAATGCCATAAAGTCTTTAAAATGTGTCTCATGAACGAAGCTTACCTTCGGTTTATTATCTCGCCTAATGTGGTATCTTTAAGTAGGCATCAAATTATTGCATCACAATCAGTAGACGATCATATTAAGGACGTCTTCTATTTGTACATATGAAAACCGTGAACAGGTGTCATTGAAATTGATTGACGTGATTGTCTATGATATTATATCTAGCCCAAATGATTGTGTAACAACGTGAATATTAGTATTGAGAAAAGCAATGTAGAAACTTTGCTTCTAACACATAATTGAATAAATTGTAGGCTTCAATTAGATTATTTATCGAAAATAATCATCAAAATTGATTTTGGGAAAAGCGTAATATAGTTTACCTCCAGATATTTAGTTGATCTCAGAACCGTTTTTTATATAATAATTTATATTATACATAGGTTTTTATAACAGCCTTATTTTTAAAAAATACAGTGTGTTACTTAGAGAAACTGCAAATATAAGCATAAAACTCTGAACTTACGGATCGGTACATCTACATCTTTTAAAACATACTCTATACAATAAGAACCTATACACAGATATTAACTGTAAATACTTATCTTTTGTAGGTCCTGTTGTATCGGCGCTATGCAACAAATTTGGCTGTCGGGCGGTGTGTATCGCTGGCTCCTTGATAGCCACAGTCGCTTTTGTACTTTCTACGTATAGCAAAAGCGTTACTATGATGATGCTCACGTATGGACTCCTAGGAGGTAAGAAAACATATTTTATTATACATTGGAAAAGTTAATTTTGGCCTCTAATCTCCGATTGTTATCGATGTAGACTTTGTACAAAGTCGTCTGGGTAGCGATAACCATTTTCCCATTTATTGCATCCAAGCAGCTTGCTTTCTCAGACTGAAACAGTTGAAGGGTAACGCAGTGAAATTGCCAGGTACAGAGGCATGATATCGTCCTCTGGAATGACAGTGAATAAAAGGTACCACGGGCATCGTATGACAACTTGTTCATGTGTATAGGTGATTAATACTTACCGTCCAGGGGACGTCAGATTCTTTGCCATGACAAGCAAAAAAAAAATTGAATATACTTGATCTTACGTCGCTGAATTACTTAATTACACTACAGAAGTAATACAATTATATGCCAAATTACTATATTTTAACGTAATTTATCTAGTTACAAGTGCATGTTATGCATTAAAAACGCTGTACCATGTTTTATTATTCATCGGAACATATTGATTCTATTGATGCAGTTAGTAGTAGTAGTAATTGAGGCATTAGAATAACATTTAAGTTTTCATTTTATATTATAAAGTTAGAAATGTTAAACCAAGTAGTTATTCCATATGTAAATAAAGTTGCCAAAAATATTTATTTTATTTAATCTTTCTTTTGGATACTTTATAACGTATTATGAGCGGCCGGCAAGATTGCTATTATGTACGATACTTTCTCATGTTCTTTGTTTTTATCATTATTCTAACAAAATAACAGTAACGTCCCAAAACAAACTTGTTTACTCCATGACAACGTAAATATTTCTTAGAAACGTATTGTGGTAATTGAGATATTGTGATAAAAAATAAGTGATTCATCACATTCGAAGGTGTTGTAAGTGGCTAAGGATAGAAATTATCCATTCAGTAATACTTGCATTGGCTTGCATCCAGTGGAAACATACGTCAACCGACTGAATTAACATGTCGTTAACTAAGACGACAGCGTTACATGTCGCCTGTCAATTCAAAGCCGCCGGGTTATACTGCGACTCAATTTAATAATGTAGTAAACAACTAGAAATCCAGGACACGTACTAAAGGACATTATTTAATAATGTCCTTTAGTTTTACACCTGTATATGTGTAACCCTAATATGACTTACTTATGTCGTATGACCTAATGATTGCACGAAAAGACCTTACTGTAAAATGGGGTCCTATATAACGGGGTCTAGAATAAACTCTTTTAATTAATAAGTAATCATCAAATCTATTCTGTAGTCAATTGGTTAAAATACCTTCTTATAAGAGAGTGAAAACTTGTTATATAATAAGGTTACAAAACTCTTTTTTTCCGGTTTTATTGCGATTTTTTCTTTTCTTGCACGCATGTTATCCTTGTCTTATATATGTAATGAAAATTATTAAATGATCTTGGAATATGCATTAGGTATAGATAGGTAATTATACTTTAACTAGTTGCTGTTTACAAATTAATAGCGTGGACGCAGGTCTAAAGCATGTTATGTTAATAGCCCAGTTGCTAGTAGCCTTGGCACAATAGCATAAATGTGGATGCGAACCGTCCTTCGAAACTTGGCGCCTGTAAATACATTGAGACTGGTTATTATTCAATGAAGATGTATAGTGGGAATAATATATGGGGTGACCACCGAAACTCGTATTTCCATATTGTCGTTTGTCTAAAAAACACGTTAATTTACGGAGACAAATTCGGTGGTAATAGTAATAGCAACATACTGTGGTGGTGGTAATAATAATAGTAGGTAATAGCAAGATAGATTTTCTACAAAAATTATCAAGTGCTGAGACAACAGAGTTGCTTGAATATTATAGCATACTAGTTTACAGTGTGTGAAATTGTAATGAAATTAAAGGGTACGGAAGCATACTGACTTAAAACTCGAGAATGGCAACCATATGTGGTATTGCCGTCACAGTGTCTTTTGTAATTCTCCTCGTGCTGTTCATGTATACAGAGTAGGTAGGTGGGTAAGACAGCTTGTTTGCCATTCCATATATGTAAAAAATAAAACTATAAAAGACAATATTTTTGTAATTGTAGTCTACCAAAGGATCTTCAGAGCATAAAATCACCGACAAAAGTAGATAATATTTAGACGCCCCAATTTGTAATAAATTGTTTGTTTCGCTGGCAAATAACAGATTCCGATCACCTAATATGTATTTATATGTACTTACGTGTATATAATTTTACTCAAACTTGATGGTCTAATAGTTACGAACTGTTTTTTTTTGAGACTGTAATTGCCAGCTTGTGTTATCCTAGTTATTCAAGTTGATCGCTGTGAATTAGGTATAAGGCATAATACAATCCTAAGATGGCTTTTATTTGAGTTTGAAATAGATTACACTATTTTAACTATTAGCTTTTAGGTATACACAAATTTTCATTCTTTATTTCACCCTCTTATTATTATTTGAGATAAAATGTAAGCTATATCTGTCCTAGTGATATAATACTTGTTGTGAAAATTAACAAACAGAATGACATACTTTTTTATTTCTGATATGAATTGTGTTTGCAATATAATATTTCATACGTAAATTCGCAGTATTTCTAGATAAAATAATATTAAAGATATTATATTAATCTCTTGTAATTTTTTGATTGTCATTACTATTCATTGTGCTTATTCGTCGTCATTATTTAAATCTTTGTTACTTCATTTTAATTTGTTATATTCGGGAAGTCTGCAATTTCTTTGTTCCTTAAAAATTTTGACACGATACGTATTGAATTGGATCTTAGCCAACATTTACGGCAAACAATACTAGTCTTCAAATAAAGGGTTTTACAAAGTCCTTTTGTAAATAATCAATGAAGGATTTCCCTATTGCACATCTGTTACTATATATAAATAATATATATGTATAGACATAATCTATACATAATAGATATCTACATACATCCAAAAGAGTGGCTTATAAGGTATATAAATCTCCTATATTTATAAATTTTCTTAATACATCTTGTAGTGTTACATAATAATGTAGCCCGCATTCTGCTTTAATACCAACTCCTAAATTTAAATGATTGATACATTTACAAAGATACCTTTTAAAGGTTGTAGAAAATATGATAATAAATAAGATTAGATCTTACAATAGGATTTGTCGTATATTATAGCATTTAAATAACATCTACGGATTGGCGGGTTATCGCTTAGAATGGTATCTATCAATCAATCTGTGGGATAGTTCAGTGATAGAATTATCTGCTATGTACAATATGTAGTAAATAATTTATCTTAAACATAATCGCTATCTTTTTTAATCTTGTAATAATATTTACAAACATATAAGGCTCTCTTAAATGCACCTTAACTTCTTACTTTACTTTGAATTGCCTACGTTTTTGTCTAGATTGAGAGGCCGTAGGATAGGATGATGACTGGCTATGTGCCAGACTTTGTAGACATTAAGGCGCCATGCAAGGTTTGTTCCTGGACTATTACGCAAATGTATATATCTTAATATGATTCGAATTTAAATAAATGGAATCGGAATTATATATACTTTAAATAAAAAAATGTATGAATAAATAATTATTAATACTTGACGTCTCCATTAATTACCTTAAATTAGTATCATAAACATTTAAAAGTATAGCGTCATTTCCATTGCATTTATCGCCACTGGTTGTCCAGGCTCCATATGGATAAGGTAAAGATTATTCGGTCTGACATCAGTATTAATTCAAATAGACGGCTATTTATTAATGAATTTCGAAAATAAGGAAAATATATCATAAATTTTAGAATTATATCTTTCTACTGAAATAAATTTGTACGTCTCAATCATAATAATTAGCGCGAACGTTTAGCACAATTGTCGACTGATCCCACTTGGCAGCAACGTTGAGATCATCGGATTCAATGCCGAGACCATTCGAAAACTCTGTTTCGTCACGCCCGGTGGACGTTTCAAACGTAGCCCAACTATTTTTGTTTTATTCCATTTAAATGGCCATGAAACCACGGGAGTTGTTGAGTATGTTACAGTATGTTAACATTTCTGTCCTATATAGGTGTTATCAAATACAATGGCGTCTTTCTTGTACAATGTTAAGAAAATGCGTGTTATATGACTGTGAATTATATTTTTTAATATCTTCTAATACCATAAAAAGAAATAGATCTCATTTCCTTGTATCGCTTTATTCAATTGCTTGAATATAAAATAAAAAATTTTTAAGCCACTTTACATTAATTACACGGTTATAGAACAACAATGTTATTCTTATTACTTATTGTATTAAGTACTAAGTTCAAATATTTATTTTCAATAAGCATAAAAGCAGACGTATGTTTCTACTGCGTAAACTGTAGAATATATTCAATGTTATATGAATGAAATGTCTAAAAGTAAGAATATTAACTTAAGTTGGATGTTACATTGAAATTTCAAATCCTTTATTGTTTTTTTCTGAAAAATTACCTTAGATACAGTAAACTCATTTAATAATGCGCTGACTCTATACTATGTGGTGTATAGTATAATAACCATGCTTGTTTATTTTTATAGTATTATAGATTTTATTGGCCAATAAATTCCATAAACATAAAATATTAATGACAAGGGCTTTAAATTGTGACCTTGTTTGAAACAAGAATGTTACAAATTGTTATTTTTGTTGCGAGGACAAGTTGTAATATATTTGGTAAGTTTAATGACACTAGCAGACTCTTTGTGTTGTATTGGTGATATTAAAAATGCACTTGAATATTTCGGATTTTCGGGTACAGTGAGTAAAAAGTACAAAACATGTTATTTACCACTTATATTTTGTTTAGAGATTTAAGAAACCAATATTTATTAATTATTTATAGGTTTGTCAGTACAATGGTACATAACAAAATAAAGTGTTCAGTGGTCTGTTTTTACTATAAAATACGTATTCATTCAACTATATATTCGGAACCTGTATGAGTACGTAGAAATAGAAAACTTTTTTCACATGAACTTAGTACTAAATAGTCATATTATTTGATTCTACCATTCATTCGGGTCATAATTTAGGAGTTGACAAGTATCGGTCTCTAGTCTTTGCATGAGGCGGAATTGATAAAATGCGACATTCGTTAATTTATTGTATTGTTTCTTAGTTATACAAATACTGAGAAATATACTTCAAAAATCAAAATTGACTTTCTAACCATTCAGTAATTAAATAACGATAAACATAGCTAGATTCTTCTATAAGTAGGTACTACAGAATACAATTGCTTTAATTTGAATAAAGGGAGTGCTTCGAATCACAGAATAAATAACATTACTCAAATGTAGGTCATGTTATATTAGCGTGGTTATCATTCCGAGCCGTTTGGAGGATATAGGTCAATCAAAAATCCAAGTGATGAATTAATTTTCAACCGATTCGGAAATGAAATACGTTTTAAATTCAATTGGCCTGTTTTCTGCGTATGTTACGTAACATATTCAATAATGCTGCATGATTGGACTTGGGTTCGCGTATTCTTTGTAATGTAATGTAATGTAAAAAAAATATTTTTTTTGTCCAAGAATATATATATGTATTAACATAACATTTTATCTACATCCACAGCAGTTTCTATACGGGTTGCTATAAAACAGTACTGTAGCCTACACTGCCTCATTCACTTCCTTACCTCGTCTCATACATATGCTAGTATCTACTGGAAACTTGGTATCTTCTATCACGGCATACGAACTGACTATATTAGTCGCCTTAAACTGCTTTATAAAAAAATACGTACTATTATTAAATTCGAAAGTGTGTCTCCCTCTCTATTCACTACCTTTGCAAGATTAAACGGTTGAACAGATGTAATGAAATTTGATATGAAGGTTAATTGTATCACGAGAACGAACATATGTTATTTTCGTAAAAAGCAGACAAAGTCGCGGCTGTTAGATACTTTCTATTATAAAACACTCATCTAATAAACAGATATTACCAAATTATGATTTATCAATAATTATGTAGATCATTGTATGTAAATTAATGATAAATATTTGACGTGAAAACTGGAATATGTACCGGATAATGACGCATAATGCCGTCGACCTCTTCACCGGCCCATATGTTCCTTTGTGCTGTTTCAAATGCCGATTTGTGGGGCGTCAATAAACACTGAGTCATTCTATATCAAATTCCAGTATTTGTTTTCCCTTAAAACTGTGATATGTTTAATTAAATAAGTGCAGAAATCGCTGTTGTAGATTTTTCATTTAATCGACATAATTTTAAACCTTTTTAAAATATTTTTTACCGCTTATTCGGAAAGCTGGCTCATCACAAGAAGAATAAGCAAGAAAGTTGTGTGTTGCTCTTTTAAACAATCTTTGTAAGTTCACATTTTACAAGTCGAAACGTGTGAATACAAACTACCCACAAGTACTAATTTATTTAGGCTCAAATATAAAAACACAATAAGATTAAATCAGTCGCAGTGATAAGAGCAGACCAGTCCCTACAAGCAGCACTCGTTCACTAGTATAACGGATGAGCCAGCCATCACTGTGCTCGACCATATTTTAGGTAGCCCAATGACCACCGAATGTAAATCAACAATCAAATAGCTATACCGCTATTTGATTTGTTGATTTACATTTTCCCTTACTGTGAATAACATTCACCATTTAAAAGAATAAAAGTTCGTGATTGTAGTCAATGTTGGAACAGAATAGTGACTTCGTTTTCCAAATTACGATTCCCGTTATTACTAGGTACTGTATAAATCTTGCTGATTGATGTATTTCTATTACGCGGAGCTCTATAATTTGATCTCTTAGTAATTTTCTTAGTAAACATATAGGCTAATGTTACTCGTATATACATTAAAATTAAGCCTTTTCACTATCTGTATTTTGTTTGCGCTTTTTATTATACACAAAAGTGTATAAGGATTGTCTATTTTAAAAGCAAAATGTTCTGTCTTAAAAAGGATTTATGCAGAACTATGTATAACTACGAGAATACGAAAATGGTAACAGCTGCATGAACATTTCATAATATACTTAGACTTTTATTACACTACTATACGACGAATTATTTAAATTTTAGCGAATACACAAAAAACAAATGTATAACTATAGTAACTGCAAAAGAGATAGAACAGTATATTAACATGGACATTGATTCTTTGTTCGATTTTATTATACTGAATAAGCATATCGATCCGGGTATTTGAACTCTAACATACTCCTTATACACCTTTGTTAAGGGTTAACGACCCAGGTTGGGGGAGAGGTAATTGTTAGTGGTGAGGACAGTGGCCCCGTCACCGCGTCGTCAGGTCGACCCTCACGTAGTCCCTCTTGGTAAACATCGTGGTCAATGTTCAATCTATTATATCCACTAGTATCACCAGAGGTAATGAAAAAGTCATTTGCTTATTTCAGCCGCCAAGCACCTTGCTTTGTAGTCTGTTTCGGTTGTAGGGTGCAGATTATTCAATGAAATTGTAAAATAATAGGCATGACATCGTAGTCCTCTACAATAGCAACGAATGAATGTTGTTTTAATTAATGACAATGGAATGGTGCACCCGGCTGTACTAGCGGTTTACGCTGGCGGGGCCATCAGTTCAATTAGCTCATGGTGGCAAAATTACTAAGAAATTATTTCAGCGGCTTAGGGGTTTCAGGGGCTCCCTATGAAACCACTGTGATAAATTCTTTAAGTTGAGGTCACCCTGACAGTACATTGTTTCAAATGGGATTATTAATCGACATTACTAACAATCCCCTTCCCCCCACGAATGAGTGGTATCGCGAATGTCAATTGATAACGTGATGTCCGTAGTGTTGTTCATGTATATAGGCGACGGTTATCGCTTACCATAAAGTGGGCCGCCTGTTTACCATACCAATGACAAATAAAATATAAGTGCCACAGTATGTGTGATTAGCGCATACGGAAGCACAATTCCATCATCACCAATAAAAAAAACCCAAGTTTCCAAGATTAAATTATATTTTCAGGTATAGGCTTCGGTATGATCTACCTGCCTTCAGTGGTGGCTGTGGGCTACTACTTCGAAACTCGACGGTCCCTGGCTACTGGTATCGCTGTGTGCGGTTCCGGAGTGGGCACCTTCAGTTTCGCGCCACTTGCTTCAATATTGCTCAATGAGTTCGGGTCGTGGCAGAATGCGAATTTGCTTTTGGCTGGACTGATTTTGAACTGCGCCGTATTCGGCGCGCTTATGAGGCCGTTGGTTTATCCCAAGGTAAGAGACGTTGTATTTACAATTAAAAATATATATAGGTTTTGTCGTGATGACATACATGGTAGGTACATAGTGATATTATTTACTAATGGATATACTAAGCCATAGCCATAATTTAAATCTAGAGATTAATAATTTCTGGATCATTATAAATTATTTCGAGAATGTTCTTCGGAAAATTTTGTTCGCAAAATAATAGCATCTCTCTCTCTCTAAGAGGTCCTGTATAAGGGGCTTGGTGGAGTATTATATTTTTTATTTTATTCCATTTCATACTATTAGAAAAGGAAAAACTAATTGGTTCATACGATATTCTGGAAGTAAATAGGTGTAAATATCTGTATATATAAAATTTAATTTAAATATTTTTTACAAAATATTTATTTATATAATAAAAATACTTATAAACTAACTTCCAAAAACTTTTTTAATTATGTAGTACCTAATATGCCAATATTAGAAAACTCACCGGCAACTATCGCAAGAATATCAATTTAACCAGCCGTGATCCTCTTTTTGATAAGGGTTAGTACCTTAAGCTCCAACTGTCACTTGAATTTATCCGAACAATTGAAATTAATCCTGGTTATTATTTAGTTTAGAACATTTACTGTATAGCATTATTGAATATTGTCTATATTGTTGGCTTTATTTATTGAATTTAGTCATTATATTTTATTATAATGTATTCTATTATAGTCATATTGTATTCTAGTACTATAATATATTAATATGTTACCGTCTTATAAATTGTAATTACCTAATAATAACGCCCTAATAAATAATGCAAATAACAAATGACTAAAATCTCATAATAGTTTATTTTTTATTTTTCAGTCTTCGGGTGAAAAGCCTTTACTACAACGTATGGCCGAGGAGAAAAGACTGCAAATGGAAAGGGGTTCAATTGGGGGTTCATATTTTGTGGTACAGCTACCCGACGGTAGCATGGAGAAAAGACTGAAGGTAGTAATCTTGATTATATAGTTATATCTGGTTTACAATATTGTAGTTATAAAGGAGAATACATCGAAACATCCATGATATTATTGATGAAACATTGTAATGTAATACTATAATAATCCAGAACAATTAATACAGCGCTATCTAGTTCCAAGCTAAGCAGAGCTTATGTTATGGTTACTAGACAACTGGTAGAAATACTTAAATATATTTTATTTAAATGCATTCCTAATTTATATTGAAAACTTTCCTACCAATACAAATCGTGCGAGGAATCGAACCTGCGACCATCGGATATAAAGCGGCCCTCTAAACACCGATACCGTAAAGAAAATTAAAATATTTGATATATGAGCTTCCCACTAACAACGCAATCACATTATTAATTTAGGTATAAAAAAAAAATTACATTTATATTTCCACTTTGTTTCTTCATGAAATTGGTTCAGTCTTATATAATTCTACACATAATATTCTAAATATAATATATAGTTATATAAAACTCTATACTGAAATAGCTATGACAATATACTAAATACTGTGTAAATAGCGAGATAAAAACGTAGATTAGTAAGATTTTCAGCGTACGAAATACTATTTACATTCGTAACTACTACAATTTCAAGGTCTACAAATACAAGTTAAACGAAGCACATGAACTCTTTTGCTGTCTACTCCTAGTATATTCTTTAGTGTAAACTTACTAAGAATACTCTAAAAGCATTCTTAGACCGTATTTCATTTCTCATGTGAATTCCCTGACAATGTTGTATGATGTTTTTTTCATAAAATGAATAATATATTAACAAATAATCTTGTGTTTTAGATTTTGACGTAGTGATTGTTATTTTTGTTAAACCCCTTGCGTCTGTTTTGAGTTTTCTAACTCATATAATGTATATCTGGAAATATTTATCTGTTTATTTAAATTTTCATGCACAAATATAATATAAACGAAATGGTCATCAGATCGTGCAACCAGAGAACTAATAAAGCGGAGCATTATAGTTTACATTGTTAATACGTGGAAACCGAAATATTATTAGGTCTGAGTCAATAAGCATACAATGAAATGAGAATACCAAATAATTTCTATATACGTTTTATATGAATCATAACCGTCATAACAACGGGAGATATAACTAACGACACGTCTGCGGTTTTTAATGTTAAAATGAAATCATTTATCGATGCGCACAATTATTTTTCTAAGTATTCAATGCTTTTGTGCAATATACATACATTAAAATTAGTTTAAATTGTAAATTACCGGGTTACAATTAAATTAATAACTGTATAAATTATTGCTACTCCACATCTTCTATCTACAATATATATTTAATATTTAGGATTTATTATTGACTTCCAAGGATATAAACCAAAAATAACTTTAAGAATGTTATCTTTAATGGGTTAGTTACAGGCATTGTTAACTGTAGTGATACACGCAACGAGACATCGCGCTAACCTACTGATAGCTAGTCGCCCCGATTAGTTTTGAATTTTGTTATTGGAACTTACAAACATTTAGCACCCCAGACAGGCACTTGCAAATATAGAAAGGAAATATAAAATTATAATGTGTAAACAATGAGACAATAGCTGAATTTACTCTTACACTCTTTCACGCGGTTAAATAGTTTCACGCAGGAATTATTGTGGATGTAATGAGATAAAGAGAACAAGAAATGCCGCATTCTCGCGTCTTTTAATCGTGAGTGCTTTAGTGCCTTTTTTAATAATTAATTATAATTTCAAAATGACTATTGACGAAAGACATAATTGTAGAGTTACTGATAATTTATAAATCTTAAACCTGTCTTTGGAATATATAAACTGTGGAATTAAAAATAATATTTTAAAAGAAAGTGTGAAAGAAACTGTCATGTATGAAAGAATGATCACAAAAAAATAGTAAAATACAACCACACATGGTTGCGCGCCCTGACTTTCCCGCGCTAAATCGCACACGCTCTTGAAAGAATGTGTCGTATAAAGGCAGCTAATGTAGCAATAATGAGTAGCTTTTCGCTAAACGGCGTTCTCTTCCAGGCAACCTGACAAAACTGTAATGGATGGTATGATCGCAGGCGCCGCTTAACGTGGACCCTGGCGTTCACTCGTCACTGAACTTGGAGGCGCTGGCGCGGGTCCCCACACTGCCCAATATGACGGGCGTGCCCACCGTGCCCACTCTACCCACCATCACGGAGGTCCGCGTTGCTGATGACAACGGAAACAACAAAAAGAAGGTTAACTGAATAAGTTATATATATACTATGTACTATATCAAATCAAAATATCTTTATCATGTAGTAGGTATATTACAGACTCTTATGATATGTCTAAATCTACCGTCAGTTCGGATTCCATTTGAGCTAAGAACTGACAAGAAACTCAGCTCTTAAATTTTTCAAATGACCTTGTACATGTTTACAAAAATACAGATTCATTTTTAAATTCAAATTAGGGAAAGTAGACTGAGCATATGAGTATATAAATTTTTTCAGTAGTAGTTTCTTATCAGAGCTCGAATGCAATTCGAACTGATGGTAGCAAGTAATGACATAAACTCACAACATTCTCACTTTGTACTGGATTCTGCATGTGTGGAAAATGGTACGCAAATATTTCATGCGCTAAAGTAAAATTTAATTGAAATTCATTCAGTATTAATTTGCATGGAAGAGTAAAAAATCCATCCATCCATCCACACTCACAAACTTCCGCGTTTATAATATTAATAATAAGATTAGTAAGATAATTATGGTGTAATTTGTAGAACGAGAACGGCACAGCCTCTGCAGGTACTGGCGCCGTCGGAGCTGTTGGCACGCAGATGTCTCGAAACGTATCGTCTCCAGCGTTCAGTTCGCAGGCGCCGGGACTGCCCAAGAACGGGTCCGTGCCGTTCTTCGACCGCCAGCGGAAACAAAGCACCGGAGATAGGTCAGCCAATGATAGGTAGATGAGATCCCCTTAAGTTATGCACGACACGGTGGAGGTTACTGGAAAAATTGTGTCGGTGATGGCTGTAATTGTCTTTAGATTGTAAAATTGACAAAAGGGAACCCTTTTAATTTAAATTCCATTTATATGGCTTCTTATATTGTTGTGCTGTATGTAAAATGTATATAAATAATGACTTTAGAAAAACTATTCTAGTAGAATTACTTTAGAAAGTCATGTACAAATATTGAGAATTTAGTTAATACTTATTAAGAAGAGAGATGATTATTATTTGCTAAATGAGTACAGATTTAGTACTTACAGGACAAAGAAAAACGCGCTTAATGTTCCTTGATCAAGTATGGAATATTTTAGTATAAATAAGTGAATAATAATAAATTATTATAATTTGTTATTATACTCGCCGTTAATATAGTCCTTTGTATGTATTTTATTATATAATAAAATAGTTGTGTAGAAGTTTAAGTATTATATTTTTATTACAGATTCAAACCGTCCCTGGCTGCAATTAGAGCCACGTCCAAAACTTCCATGAATAGTAATCGTGCTCCTGATGTGAGTATATTTGTGACCTATTCTGTAGAGTCAACTTAGTTTATAGTTTTCTCCACATATGTTGAGATCTACAACTTTTTACGTAACTAAAATGAATCAACGCGACTTGCTTTAATCCTTAATTACTTAAAAGTAAAACTTTGTTTATTGTAACTGCAGCGGTCGCCACACTGTTAATTATTCAGTTGTCTAAATATTTGGTAACAAGAGCTATTGAAGGATGGCCCAATTAGACCTACTTTGAACATATTAACCTCGATATATTAGGGTCAACAACATGACTCAAATGGTTGTCAGATATGTTAATATGAACGAATTAAGGAATGCCCAAACAAAAGTAGGTAGACCTTGAACTTTTGCCGCAGCGTTTTGCCAATTCCTACGTACAATTAATTATTTGGCGCTATTCCAGAACATTTGTTCCTGTTCGCAAGCGATTAATAGACATTGTTGCAGGTGTTTAAATTAAAAATTCTATATGAATATGAGTGAAATAAAATGTGATGTACATTTTATTTCAAAGTGTTTATTTTATGTCTAATGACATTGTCCCTGATGACAACGCAAATATAGGTGAAATAATAGAATATAATATATGAAATTTTTTACTGTTTCTCTCACAGAAACTACATTTACACAATTATTTATAAAAAGATAAAAACATATAACTATGAACAAGACGAAAATGTAACTATGGACGGCCTTATTGCTAAAAAGCGAACTGTCCAGTGTATAACATATATACATTTATACATCTGTTATTGTCCATGAACAGTTATTCGAAAATATGTTAATCATATTTTTTTAGGATTCACTATCATCAACTGTGATCATGTGATTAAACTTATGAATTATAGTGAACTAATTGGTCCTTTCGCTCACTTACGATAATTAAATGTAAACGTGTAGTTTAAGTAGCACAGTTGATTCTAGCTAATTTTACTCAATAAGCTAATTACATTTGGCCATTTACATGTACCGTATTTTATTGGCTATATATGCAAATTAATATAATTTTTTTAGGGTCACAAAACGATACATTTAGCCTTTATATTATAATTGGCACTAAATACCTGTTAAAGTTAAATACTGTATTACTTAAAATAAATTATTGTATTACTTTATGGAAATATAATAGGTACTTATTCACAATATAACGTTTATAAGAATTATGAATTTTTCGTCCTGATCGTATGCGGAAAATGTCACCTATCACTTTATCATTTTTTCACGCGTCACCCATGTAACCTTAGTCATCTTTTGTCATATCAGCCTTGCTACTTAGTCCACAGGAATAGCCTTTGGACTAAATAGCAAGGCTTCTTACTCTATAATTTCATTATTGTTGTTTTTGTCTACCGATTGTTTTTTATTGTTTTAATTCCGAATATACAACAGAAAAATGCTGCATCTACTTGAATATAGTGAAAGTTTATTTGTTTTGCAGGGTGATACAGAAAGCATGATGACTTCAAAGTTGTCAGTAGCCGGCGGTGGCCGCGAAGCTCCGCGGATGGTGCGGCCCATGTCTCGCAAGGATATCTTCTACTCGGGCTCCGTGCTCAATCTACCTCAATATCAGAGCCAGAAGTCGCTGCAAGGTTATAGGAATTCTGTTCTCAGTCTCCCCCAAAGCAGGCAGACTGGTGATCTGGAGAGACAAGAACGTGAGTTACATTTTTTGTATACATTTGAAATGACGGTTAGTTCTCTCTCGAATAAATGGATATAACTTTTTTATTATTATTTATAATAATAATTAATAATTTATTATTATTATTATTAACCTATTTGTTCTATCACAAGTATTTAATTATTCTTACGAGGAAATCGCAGTCCTGGCCTAAAAAAGTAATATAAAAAGACTATGTTATTAATGAATAAAAGTTATTAATAATATAATATCTAGTATTACTGTTCCTACGGTAATTGTGTGAGTGAAGTGAAGTTACTACGTGAGATAATTCATGTAGACTGTATACAAAGTTATCTACATAATTTTGATGCCAAGAATTTGGTTTTATAAGCTGTATTTTAGTTTGAATTGCAAAATAGAGTATGGCATGATTTGTTAGTCTCCATTATTCTTCTCTATAGATCTATAATAATAATAATAGTAATAATAATCTCAGAACAATTCACACAACGCCATCTAGACCCAAGTAAGCTAGCTAAAGCTTGTGTTATGGGCACGAACTAACTGATACAAATGTACATAGATATTTTTTTTCGTAAATACATACATATATTATACATAGAAAACACCCAGTCCGATACAAACAATCATATTCATGAATACAAACGTTTGTGCCCTGCGAGGAATCGAACCCGCGACCGTCGGTCGTAAAGCGGTGTGCTATACCGCTAGACCATCGAGGTCGTCAATCATATATTTATATATAAGAGATGGTCACCACTTCTCATCAGTTTAACTGCAGCTTGTATGCCATTATATGGTTAATATCAAATATTACAGAGTATGACTTGTGCCCATGCCTGTCTCTGCCGGCATCGTTTAAGTCCGCACTGAGTTCGATGCTGGATATGACTCTGTTGCGAGACCCGGCTTTTATGCTCATTGGCGTCTCCAACATCTTCGGTATGGCTGGTCTCTACGTGCCCTTCGTATACATCGTTGATGCTGCTAAGCTTAATGTAAGTCATTGACTGGTTTTATTAAGATATAGCAATACAATATCTAGTACTTCTGTATATAATAGCTGTCTTCAAACTAACTGATCTTATACATAGGATACTGATCTTATTTACAGGTAACCACAGCATACTTTATGTTATATTATATTACTAGCATTGTTTTAATTATATGAAACACATTTATAATATACCTTTACATGGTTGTGATACTAACTCCCAAATATAATGTATTGGCGACAATATTTGACTGCATTCTATACGTTTTCAGTCTACATTTTTTTTTAAATGAAATAATTTTTAACAACAATCTACAATCCAACAATTTTTAATCTTCGGCCAGTAATTAGGTATTAGTAGGTATTAGGGTTGGTATTAGTAGTCATGCAAAAATAACTTTAAATTTAATCGATTCAACCGATTAAATTTTATTAGTTATTTTTGCATTACTACTAATACCAATCCTAATACCTACTAATACCTAATAATCTACTGATACTTTTTTTCGGTCCTTTATGCCGGATTTTAGCTAATAGACCTTAAGATTTAAGGCCTATGAAGATATACGAATAACTTTTCATCCAATACTTTTTGCAGGGTGTAGATCCATCGCAAGCGTCGTTTTTGCTGTCCATCATTGGTATAACAAACACTATTGGACGTATAGCGTGCGGTTGGGTCGCAGATTTTCCCTGGATGGATTCACTCTTGCTCAATAACTTGTGCCTCGTCATTGCCACGGTTAGTAGTCACCATTAAATATACATTTTATAAAAAATGTTTTAATGATTATGATTGTTTGTATCAATCTGGATGTTTTCTATGTATATTATGTATCTATTTAGAAAAAAAAACGTTTCTATGAACACTATGTACTTATATCAGTTGTCTAGTACCACAAGCACTGCTTAGCTTGGGCCTAGAAGGCGCTGTGTGAATTGTATAGAGATATTATTATTATTATCACAGACAATCAACTTCTTCTGCGCATGTGAACTAAAATCTGCTTTATTACTATTAACTTCTTGTGTTTTTATTGGTCAGTGGAGGGACGTACTATCAGAACAATTACTAGTTTTGAAAAATGTTAAAATTTCGATCTTAAATTTGTATGTTTCATTCCAAATAATATATATTTTTATTTCAGATATCTGTCGCTGCAATACCTTTCTGTACTTCGTATGGCTGCTACATAGCTGTAGCTATTGCCTTTGGACTTGCGATTTGTGAGTAAAATTAGTGAACATAATTTCTTTATTGACTATAAATCTTCTATGTTATATGAAATAAACAGATTATATTATAATAATAAACAGAATGTCAAACAAATCTTAATAAGCTTAATTATAGAAGCTTTAATAGTGTTGTTAAAGCCAACATTGTAGCCGTAGTTTTTGCTAATTGTGTTGAACAGGCGTTATAATTTTTATTATTTGTATACTTTCAAGTTAGTCGATATTATTATCTACTTTCACTACTGTTTCTAATTGTTCCACGGATAGTTGCTGTTCTAAATTTATTATTTGTAAAAACTAAAAGACAAAATTAAATGTACTGTTGAACTGTGCATCAGAGTTTGTTATTGACAAATTCCATTGTGTCCACTACGAGACAAGTGTTAATTCTTTATAAAAAATACTTTTTAATTGTAGTTAGTAATGCAAATTTTTAATTAAGGCACTATAAATGGATAACGCTCTTGCGATATCTAATTTCAATGTTTATGTCCGATATGTATATTGGGTGTAGTTGTGCCCCACACGACTATGATAAAGGAACATACATTCCATTACTCCCCATACGAGAGGTTTTTTTTTAATTTGCCCAAATAACTATATGGAAAAAATTACTCAGTCAATTAAGTAATTATTTTTCAGTTTTATTTTTATTAATGTGTAGTCGGAATTGTAATGTAACGGTCAGGGACAGCTAGTATAACTTCTTAAAATATTATAAACGCGAAAGTTAAAAGGAGTGGATGGATAGATGGATATTGTTACACAAACTACTACAAGGGTTTTGTTGAAACTTTACAGTAATATAGCTTAAACATCAGAATAACAACTAAGCTATAATTTAAATAGATGTAAATTGGGCGAAATATAATGATAAATGTCAAGTAAGTGTGATGCAGAAGTTACGCGGGCCAGCTAATCATAAATAAATGTACTTCCAGCCGGATACATCTCGCTGACTTCCATCATCCTTGTGGATCTGCTGGGTTTGGACAAGCTGACGAATGCGTTCGGTCTTCTGATCTTGTTCCGTGGCGCTGCCGCCATCATCGGTTCGCCGCTGGCAGGCGCCGTATATGACGCAACTAAAAGTTATGACGCTTCCTTCTATATGGCTGCTGGGTTCTTTTTGGCGGCAAGCCTTACTTCGTTCACATCGCCTTTGTTCCGCAGGTATATTTAATCTCTTTTCATTCGTTAATCAACTTTAAAAAAGTTAAAATATCCATTTTTTTGTTACTCGTTATATATAAATAGATTTATCAACACTTTTTTAAGAATAGTTTGCAGATACAGAAATTTTATAAATATCGGTATAGGTAGTAGTAGTAGTAATACATGAACAACTATGATTACTAACTTCTATACTTTACTTTAGTCTTGTAAAATGACTGCCTCGGTGGTCTCACAATTCGCTCGATACCAACATTTGTATTAATGAATATGATTGTTTGTGTCTGGGTCTTTTCTATGTATATTATGTATCTATTTACAAAAAAATCTAAGTATTATCGTGTAGTACCCATAACAGAAACTCTGCTTACCATGCGACTAGATGGCGCTGTGTTAATTGTCCAGGGATATTATTATAAATATGACGTTACACATTAACAGGAAACAGGAAGAGATCCAACAGCCGCTAGATGTTCTGACGCCCATCGACGAGGATCTGGAGGAAGACGAGGAGGAGGATCCTGATGATACTCCTATAACCATGGGCGCCCATTTGGCCTCGCGACCTCCCGCCATCACCCGCACTGCTGCTTCCCCATCAGACCCACCTAGCCCCGCCAGCCCTGCCAGTTCTACCAACCCCAACCCTAAACAGGACACACCCCCTGAATTATCGCAGCGGGAGAGCGTACTCTAAACAGAACGGAAACTAGAAAGCTAAGTAACTGAAATTTTTGTAATTTCGAGACTTAAACTTTCCCGTTTAGTACACATTATTAATATAGTTAAACGAGTTTTAACACGGATAGTTTTATGGTATATATATAGGTTACGAAACATAGTTAAGCAAGGAAACGATGAGAGAAGTAAATACCTTTATTTATCATAACATTATTCGTCTTAAATCCGTTTAAGTATATAAATTCTATTACCTTATGGACAAAAAAGTTACTATTGATTAATTGATAAACAGACAGGATATTAATTTCCAATAGACACAACGCCTCGCAAATACAAATATTTTAGATACTTAGTTCTTGATGTACAAGGAGAAGGTCAAAAGCCACGTTAAAAGTTATAGATAACTCAGCCAGCAGTTTTTATCTTTATGAATTACGTTTAATTGATAGGGAAGTGTACCCGCTCGAATTTTTACGGTTATTAAAGGTTAATTTGTTTTATCTAAATATATTAAGAATGTTTCACTCTAATTATGACATTAATTGAATCATGACAGTTGACTTCAATTTGTGACATGTAAATATAAAAAAAATATAATTGAATTATATATTTTAATAAATGCGGACAAAGACAGATCAATCAACTTATTTTTGTATTTTATACGATAGTCTGTAAACTTTTAACGTGGGTTGGAGTATCGTCAGGTGTCAAGTATTCAGATCCTTTCTGTTTCTATGAACGTTAATATTTTATTGAAATGATCCTTATTTTTATATAGCTAGAGTGTAGAATATTTTTAAAGATCGCAAGGGAGAATAGGACGTAGAAACTGTCTCTGTCTCTCAGGAACGTTCTTGGAAATAGAAACGCGTTGAAGTACTTCACACGTATGTGTGGCTCTGAATAGCAAAATTCGTTTGAACCTTTAGTAATGGTCGTCAATAAATTAAATTAATTATACGATCTCATTATATTGAAGGCTATATCCTAAAGGTGACTCGAAATGTTACTTCCCATTAGGTTCAATGAATAAGTGATATATTAGTAAGGCAATGTACAGTAACTGGTTAATAAAGGATGCAAAGGGATACATTAAAACTCAATAGAGTTAAAGACAAGATTTTACTGCCGTAAATAATCCTTATGACTTATGTTTATGCTGTCCTATAAAACTGACAATCATAGTCGGTATTATACTCCTGATGTATTTATTCGTCACGATGAGCCAACTGACCCGACTTCATACTCATTCTATCATCCTAGCCCTAGCCCTAGTAGCTAGCGTAAATGCCACAATATTCTATATGTATCTCAAACAACGAATCACATTTGTGCATAAATTTGTATCCAAAATTCTCTTTTTGTATAAACACGAACGGATAGCATTAAACAGGAGGTATTAAAAGTTATCGCACATACAATACTACTCATTAGAATTAACTCAAAAAATACAAATTTTGGGATTTCTACTTTAATAGATTTTAATTTAAAGTTGCTTTACCAAAGTTTATAGGTTTTGAGATAATGCCGTGTATTATTTAGCTTTAGATATATCAAGGGAATGATTTGTGATTCAGAGTTTTAATGTTTTCTGTTAAGATTTTACGGTAGTAAAATGTTGTCTTGTGGTGTTAATTGAAGTTACCATATGGACCTTGAATTGACTGCAAGCAATAAGCGCATATTAAGATTGCTACGCATTTGAATAATTGTGGGGAAATTATAATGAACTGTATGTTCTTTATTCCAATGTGCCATATAGTTTGTCGTGGTGCTACGGTCAATATTGTCAAAATGAAAGTGTCATTACAAATTTATTAATACTCAATGTTTAATCACACACTATTCAATAAACAATAGCAATAATGTGAGTACTTGGGCTATAAGTACTTAATCAGTTGAATTAATATGACGGGATTACATGAGAACGCAAGTTTCGTAATGAACAATGAAACTACAACACAAACAATCAGCTCAAGACAGATAAATTCAAATTGACTCCGAATTTTCTCAATATTATAATAAAATGTTTCTGTAAATGTTTTGAAAAAAAAAACTATTATGCACTCCTGTAAATAAACACTGTTAGATATATAACAGATAGAACTATTTTCTGATTAATGAAATAATATATAACTGTCTAGGTATTTTCTCTCTCAAACCACTTTCTATAAGCTACCGAATTTCCTATATATGATGTTATGGATGATATTGAAATTCAGAAGTGAAGTACTTTACTTCTAATATTCAAATATTTTAATTTTATATTAAATTCGGAATGTTCAAGATCGAAATAAATAAAATATACAATGATTGTATACGTTTTTCTATTGAAAATAATGTATAGTTTTCACATGTTGTAAGTTACATCGACAAAAATCGTATCCGATAAAAGGAAAACTAACACGGAATTATAACGATTTTAAAATCCAATAAATGGACGTTGTTAGATATAAGAATAAAAATGGAACTACACTATTACTAGTGTTATATCGGTCGTGTATTGAAAGTTATTCAAATGTCATTATTACCGGACATGGCAGACATCTTTATATGGATTGGCCGATAAAAGCTAAAAGATTAAATATGTCAACTGTGTAGGTTGTCGTAACTTGGCCCGAGTGCATACTAGGCTGCAGGATACCAGGCGCGTAACGCAGTGCAGGAAAGAAACAGTCTAGTGTCGCAGTGTGATAGTCTAGTATAAACACGACGAGATTTGAACAAGATCTTTGAGTGATAAATTGCTACGTGAGAAGGCTAGTTGGGTTAGAGAGAATGCTATATTAACCTGTCGCATAGGAGCTCTTACTCATCGGCTACCAATTGTTATTGCGTATACGATTTTACACGACGAGACCGAATATAAAGAAGTAAAGAACGAAATTTAGTCAACTGCTTAATGCGTCTTGATCTTGTTAACGTAGTCGATATGGGACTATTTGCATTCACAGCTTGGATTCTAACTTTCATATGAAAATATATTACAAAATTTGTATTTGCCTTTCTCTACCTACAGTCCCAAATGTGCACCCGGGCATAAACATGTTAATACTGTACTTCTGTGAAATTGTGTTCGTATTATACATCTACTTTAATGTTGCTAAATTATACACATTTTCATATGCGTCTATCAGAGTAATTAATTAAGAAAGTAATTAGATAATTAAGAAAGGTATTAAAATGATACGATGAACAATGAACTCAATTTGACGGTTATACTGCTTGTATTTGTATATTTCTTATGGTGGGGCCATACCTGCACATGTGCAACGCATGCGCACGAATGGCTATGGTTCGAACACTTCGTTAATATTATGAACGTAGACGAATTGTGTGTGTGTGTGCAGGTATGAAACCGCCTTTAGGTAGTAGATATAGAACGTATGCCTTTTTAAACTTCCTAGAACATTTTTGAGCTTGGCTTTTACTGGTAGCAAACTCTTGTGAGAAAATGTCATTATACAATGTCATTGCAGTTTGCATTAATGTTAAGTGATAAATATGGTTTTATTAGAGATTTTTGTCTCGAATCGCGTAAATTTATGTGTAAAAATGCGAACGACAATGACGCAACCCGACTAATTGTCTGACTTATATTTTATGTGCCATCGCCTATGAACAAGTTAATCTGTAAATATTCGGCTCTAATTAATAAGTAAATAACAGATGTGAGTAAATGCAACGCAGTCAATTTTCTGTGCATCATTCTATACCAAAAAATGATGTTTTATTAGATATCGTGGAGTTAAGCTATGTACTTGCCAGTATAGTAATGTACATACAAAATATAGAAATATAGGTACATAATATATTTTTATCATAGATATTTTTTTGTCAATAAAATGCATAATTTAGCTTTAAGCATAATTAAGATGTATGTATAGAAATGTGAAATGAAAACGTTAGCTCTAGAACGGTATTATGTGATAAAAATCGTTGATATATTTAATTTTTAACAATTTGTATTTTATTATTGAATTAATTAACAATATGCCTATAATTAAATTTTAGGTTATGTTCTTAAGATTTCGTGTAAAGTGGTATATATACAAATAAATATTAAAATAATGTACTAAAGATATTCAGAAAGTTACGGATGAATGTTATTGTTGTTATAGCTTTATGTAAAAACCAAACGTGTTATTGTTTGTAAGAATTATAAAAAAAATAGGATATAATGTACCAACTGATTATATATTATACAATTTGATTGTGTATTACCGTTTACATGAAGTACTGTTATTGAATAATAAATCAGAAAGTTAATTTTGGTAATAAGCAATTCGAAAATATATCGTTTATTGTTTTTCAATTATGAATCAATTTTCTTTTTTATATTTTTTGACTGAATAATATTGAAGATAACTAATATAATTATATGTTTTGACTCTAATAAAATCACGATCTATATAATATATATGTGAACTTTTTTATGTATGTACTTCATTCAGTATTGGCTCAAAGTATTGTTTACTTTTGTTAAATGTATATTTATTATTATAACTGATTATACATTGTCGACTGTTGTTTTGTGATCTATTCAAGTGGCACGATAAAAAATATATACGGACAGGTATGGTCTTAATTGGGCAAGATGGCTATGTTAGTGGTCGTCACCTTTTTTAAAGTAGTATTATTATATTAGAATTAGCTATGAATTTAATAGGGTTTGTTTATTATATTTAGGTTGCTTGTGAACAAATTATTTCGATTTTAGTTGTCTTAACGAATCTATTAATTAGTGGCAGTTAATGATTAAATTTTATGTGCACCTATTACACGTATTCTCTATTATTGAAATTGCAGTCAATTTGCTATAAACTAGATACATCATAACCAATAATATTAAAGTATTATAGTGGCCGAGAACTGATATTATGATGATCCTACGGTCATACCTATAAGTTACATTGTATTAAAATTGTTAGATTGATCTCAATTAGTAATTGACTGACAGAGGGTGATTTATGATATACTGAGGTAGCCTGAAGTTCGTCACAATATTTAAGCATATAAAATTATTAAAAATTTAAAAGACTTGTAATTAGTCATTATATTAATGTTAAAAGTCGACAATGTGAAAACAGTTATTGGTCAATATTTATTATATATGTATATGATTTAATATTCTTCAATTCTGATGCCTGGCGCACTACGCTTGCGTCATGAGCACGAGCAAGCATGCTTATTGTTGACAAGTCCACCGAAATCAGTTTTGTAAATAATCGATTCATTAAATGATGATGACTGATAGAATGGTTTTTATTCGCACAATGTTTCCACTATCCCATTGTACACAATCCTATTACACTGTAAAATGCAGCAACTCATATTTTATATTTTTTCGGTAAGCTCAGTGCTTGATTCGGAAATTGTATTGTTTTTTTGTGAGATAATACACTCGGAGGATTCTCTCTGGCCTACACAAGCTTAATTGGTATATTGGAATCAAGAGGATCGGAAGAAGAGAGCAACCGCCTTCTGCACCTTAAAATTATCTACGTTACTATAATAAATTAAGCTTCTAAGAAGCAGTATTCAATTAGCATTACTTTTATAAATTTACCTTTATATCACATTTATCATTTCTATCACATAAATTACTATGTCTATTGTTAATTCAATAGAAATAATTATGATCATCATCGTCTATTTATGGTCGGGATACGGCTTTTCGTTCAACTTGGGTTATTAAACAAGATCTCGCCACCAGATAAATGTAGGAAGATGACCTTTAGACATAAATAGAATTGATACAAAATAGGTTGAAGAGTTCTCCGTTACTGTTGCGTTGCTATTCCTGGAGAATTCGGTATTATAATTATTTACCTAATAATACCTTTGATACTTTGCTACCCGGAACTACGTGTACTTACTATATTTTATCAGATTTATCATAAAACTTTAGAATCTAGTAGCTAAACCGTTATCAATATTTATTATAATTTTTATGGGAAGGAGCATAAATAAAGTGATTATGAACGTACTTGTTTATATTGGTAGATAATCGACAGAATTGTGTCACATTATCACGTGACACAGTAAATGTTATTGATGCTATTTGTAAACAAATACGTGACCGACCCGTTTGATGCGATGTCAAACAAACAACCCAATAACCGTGATCGAAATGTAACATGCAGCTCGGTACAGAAAAATATTTGATTATATAATTTATTTATTAATAACTATAACAAGATACTTCTTTAAGCTACCTAAAGCAGTTGTATTTAGTAATAAATTATTAAATGAACGTGACTGAAATATGCAGTCTACTACGTAGCTACACAATATATCTATATAGATTATCTATGTAGATATGTATATTTTAACAACAAATTGCAACCAAAAACTATTTTCGTTTTTATTGTTTTTGATCAATTATATTTTGTTTTTTTTTTTATTATCTCCTCTAGTATGAACGTGTTTTTGCTTTTTATAGAATTACTATTATGCAGTACCTATAATAATAATTCTACGGTTAGATCTTGCATCTTATAATATTTGGGATGAAAAAAAGTTTATTCATTAGGCTCTGAATTAATACTGAATAAGTAATATCTATATATATACAACATAAAAATGAGTACGTACATATATATAAAAGACTAAATTAGACACTGAGATCTAGGATAAATAATATTATGGTCTGATAATACTGAAAAAAGGTCAAGCCCTCGTTGGGCGCCAATTAAATGACATCATTGTTTCAGCTTAAAATTGATGGAGTAAACATAAGATTAATAGAGATTGTCTAGAAATATTATTTGTCATATTTTATAAATCGATGAATTTGACTTGTGTAAGAAATTTCCTGTGAGAATGAACAACGTAAATTATTAAAAGAATTCCTATCAGTCATATTTTTTATTTTAATCTAGCAATCCGATTAACAGAATCTAATTGTTTTTATTTACATATTATATCCTGTCGTTGATACAATGTACTACGTTCTACAACGATAAAAGTGACGTCACAAACCGTTGATCAGACAAATAGATCGTATTTTGCATTTATAATATTTGCAAGGATATACTGCTACGTATTGCGGAATGCATGAGAAAATGTTACCTTATAAATAAATCACAATAGGGGCTAATGTATATTTATAGACATAACCTTGATATATAGCAAGGCTGTGTCTGCAAACGAGACATACAAATCTCAACCTACTCCCACATGAAGTCTCGAGACTTGCCCAGGCAATGATTATGAATGATATTAGGTACCCAGTTATCTAAACACCATACATATTTAGCATTGTCTTATCATAATGGGTATATTTCTATTTATAATTTACAATATATCACGGCAGACTCCAAGATTATATGGGAAATTCACTACTATAGTGTCAAATTTAGAGACGTTTAAGAATCATAATGCAAAAGTGAATTTCGTTAAATTAGGTTTAGTAGAATTGTCAATAGAAATATCTGAAATTTAGAACCATTAATGATCACATAGTTTTCTATGAAGTATGAATTCGTACTTGATATTTATACCTACCTATTTACTTCATACAAGCATGCAAGGACCCCTCGTTTCTGGGTTAAGAGGAGACTATGTCCCATAAATGGATATTTATAATTGATAAATATGGCAAAGGAATGGAGTGGAATGTCGTGTATGTTATTAGGTATCCATTTTATAGTTGATTTTTTTATAATTATCCTGAAATAAGAACTATGCCGTATCGTCATAGAGAATTCATAACAAACGACTTGCCTACAATTTCCTTCCTGTATTTATTACAAAGTAGAAAAATGAAAAAACGCAGGTGCTTCAATGATATATATCAATGCCATAATGAAATATGCCGACGCAATATTGAATCTATCATAAAAGAGCTTATTCCTAATTAAAAGGCCGATAACCTGTAATTCCACTAGTGTTGCAGATGAAGGCAATAATTTTTAATCACCAGAGGTCAACTGCAACATCACGAGTTTTTGGACGATGGGATTTTCAGAGAAATCACGAAAGAAATGCTTAAACGGAAGATATAATTTATGGTATATTTTGTACATAAGTTATACTCGTACTTATGTATTATTATAGTGAGATGAGATTTCTTCGTTTATTTGCAAGTACATTGGGATGATTTACTAGCCATGCCTTGTATTTAAAGCAGCACTGTTTTATGTCTTCGTCTAAATTATTGATA